CTAAAAATATTTATATCATAAGCAAAATAATAAGTTGAATAAACAAATAATAATAAGATAAACAACAATTTCTGTTGGCAAATGGTAAGCAAAATAGAGAAGCAACCTTAGCAAATGTTAACTTTGAATTGGTTTTATGGTTTTTATGAAACAACAGATAATTTAAGAATAAAAATTTGAGGAACCAATAAGTTACTGAGTATTTGCTAAGGTATACTTACTTAGGATTTGCTTAGATCGCCTCTCTATTTTGTTTGTCATTTGTCAACAGAAATTCATACAATTTTACTGAGTAAGATGCGTCATTAGAAGATAAAATTTTACTGAGTAAGATGTGTCATCAGCAAATAGAGCCACTTTAGATTAAATATTTCAGGAGAATCATTAAGATAGATGAGAGTCAACATGAGACCATGAATGGAACTTTGAATTAACCAAAAGGTACTGTGATTAGAAGGACATAATTCAATAACTTTCAATTCTTCTCTAGATACACCATACACCAAAAATGTGTCATAAGTCATATAAAGAAAGAAAAAAAGATAAATCGAATTTGCATATGAATAGCCAACATACTAAAAATGAAAGAAGAAAAAGGAAAAATCAAGCGAATTTCATTAAAGGAGGTGCCAAATGTTCTTAATGTAAAACAATGATTTCCTGGAAAATTTCAATTTTTACTTTATTCGATTTTTAGGAAATAAAGTTTGAAATTTCCAGAATATGGCTTTTATAATATAGAATATTTCTTTTCTTGTTTTTTCTGATAAAGTTAAAATAGAAAAGATGTGATACACATGTAATTATTATTTTCAATATAAATGAAAATCATAGTTCAAATTTATTTAAATTTGCTATCTCTTACACTGCTACTGCTCATCCAACCTTTACAAGATCTACCCAAATAAATTTTTAATGATTGTCTTACTAAACTTTCATCAAACTATCTTAACCTTTCTAAACCTAGTTATAAAAAAAAAATTTATGCAATAGACTTAATGGCATATCCATTATCGCACCCTGTTTAACTCTGTTAAATTAACATTGGGTATAAATGATACCTTCATACTTGATCATTGTAAACGTCTCAAGAATGAAGCCCCCCTTGTTACTCTGATGAGTTCCAATCTATTGTTAAACTTATGACCTGTGGAAACACAGCTGACCACTTTTGACTTCATTTGGAGCATTGTTAGTTCTCTTGTTGTTAAAGATAAGAAAGGTAACATCTCTGACTACCCTAATTATCGTCCAATTGATTTGGTTACATTTTTATTCAAGATTGTTTCATGTTTTACAAAAATTTTATTTAGGACTCCTAATCAATTTAGTTTCAAGAAAAGATAGAGAACCGTTCTTATTTTAAAAATCCTTTTAAATTTTTACTATTCTTATGACTTAAATATGCATGTAGCATTATTTTATATCCGTAAGGCCTTTGATAGAGTTAACTTTGACACATTGTTTATGAAACTCTCTAAATTGTCTCTGATATGACTTTATACTTAAGTATAAAGTCATATCATCTTTATACTTAAGTATAAAGTCATACCAGACAATGAGTAAGTACTCATTGTCTGGTATGCTGGTCAAACAGCACATATCTTTTAGGCTGGCTTACTATCTAAAACATTTGCTATTGGTAATATATTGTGACAAAGAGGTGTACTGTCTCCCCTGTTATTATATTTTATATATTAATATATTAAATCTTAGTGTTCCTAATACTACATCTCATTGTGCTTAGTGCTATCTTTATGTATCTTAGTGAAACACATTATATCTTAGTGTATCTTAATATTATATCTTAGTGTTCAACTTAATACAATTACTATACTGAAGCTGTTTGGTTCCTTCTCTCATTGACTATCTTTTTTATGCTGATAATATTGTCTTGAGTGTACCTTCAGTAATGTTATTTAAAAGTTATGAAGTAAAAAGCCCTTGTTTTATATTAGCTAACATGGTTCTCTAGTACACTACTTAATACAAATATCTGAGACATTTGATTTCAAACTACATTTCTGATAACAAATGTTCTCTGTATGCTAATACTAATATCATTTGTATGAAGATCTGCTTAACATAAGTTCAAACGAAGGTCATGCTGCTTTTGCAGTCCTATTTATGGTTTTCAGCTTTGGTACCTTCTGCAAAATGAAGATACCAAATCTGACATATAATAACGAACTTCGTCTGATTCTAAACAAACCACCTTGGAACAGGGCTAGCAAACTAATTGTAAAGCATGGTGGCCATCCACTTTATATTGTTATTCGTAAACAACAATACTCCTCTTTATTATTGTTGCAGAAGAGTGAAAACTTCAATAAAATCTTTTGTAAACTCGAACAAATTCTTGCCATTAATGTCCATTAATGTATAAACGGAAAGTAGAGTTATATTTATGACACCTACTTTGTTTATATTTAGAGTAATGTAATTATTTTATCATCTTTATTTTACCTACTGTATTCTTATTATTTTGAGCTTTGAGCCTGTCAAAAAATTGGATTTGATTTGATTTAGTTTACTAATAAATACACAGGCTCTTTGTTTGTGTAAGTTCCATGTAGATCACATATGGAAAGCAAATGTAAACCATATGCTTAACACTCTCCCTTATGAAATGGGTTTGGTGTGGTCTATGTTTTAAACAACATATTTAAACAATGTTATGACCTTAGGGGTCGTCCATAAAGCATAGGGGGGAGAGGGGAGGCCTTCGAAAGCGTATGGTGAGGGGGGGAGGGCGGAGGTTTCAATTTGAAAGTACGTACTTCAATTTTCCAATTTTTTTACAATTAACCAGCTAGTCAATAGAAAAGTTAAAATTCTGACTTAAGATCCGAGTTTGCCAACATAAAAAGATGTATTGTATAGGGAGTAGAAGTTATAGTTTCTCTCTATGCACACACATGCATGGGCGCCCGCAGGACTTTTTGATGTTCCAGATAAACCACTTCCACACATTGTGCAAAACTCCAAATTTAAGTATGTTTGTACCTATGCCATCTTAAAAGACCTCGCATAAAAATTGTTATAGCGATAGTCTGGGAACAAAAAAGCCCTCAAATGCTTGCATCCCCTCCCCTGCCCAAAGGTGAGGGCACTAATGTAGTAAAATTTTTCGACCCCCTCCCCCAAAAAATAAATGAGGGGCTGTACATTTTGCATCGACATTTGTAATTTACAATATTATTCAACAAAATTTAAATTCTGTCGATAAATTTGAATTTAGTTTTAGATCGTTAAGCTAAAAATTTTACTACATAAGTGCCCTCACGTTTGATCAGGGGGCAAGCGTTTCAGGGCTATTTGTTGACAGGTTTCCACCATACCAATTTTTTACAAGGTCGCATAGGCATAAACATACTTAATTTTGGAGTTTGCTCAGTGTGAAAGTGTCTTATCTGGAACATCAAAAAATCCTGCAGGAGCCCATGTCACCCCTTATATACTGGCTGAGTATATAAGGGGTGACATGGGCTGAGTACATGCACATGTACACCCTGAGTACTGGCCCTGAGTACACACACGCAGTAATGTGTGCATGCATGTGTATATCCATGCATATTTATATGCATGCATGTGTATATGCATGCATGTGTGTATGCATGTGTGCATGCATGTGCAAAAAATAAGTTGTCTATTTTTATCTAAGTCAACAAAAAACAGGTTTTAGCAGTGCAATGGCCAATAGGTCGGAAACCCCCCTCCCCTAAAAAAAAAACGTGTTATTTGGGTCTCAAAATCTTCCAAATTTTACCGCTAAGTTATGCTAAAATAAAATAGCAAAATGGTATAAAATTTGCTCCTCCCCCACGACATCCCACCCCCTCTAATTACGGGGAATGGGTAGCCTACACATATGAAAACAAAGTTTAAAACCCAATGCCGAACTAGGTTTTAAGCTTTGTTTTCAATATTACTCTTCTCGCTTGACTCGCTTTTTACGGACTTACAAAAGAGGGGTGCCTAAAACGGGGTGCCTTAAGTATAGTTTATTTTTATTTGATGCGTCTCATTAAACAAAAAAAGTAAATTGCTATCTGCCTATCACTGCCTATCACATTATCCACTCGGCCAAGCGATCTCTTCGAAATGATAAGATTTAATTTTATTTAAATTCATATTTGTATATTTGATGATGTTTTTTAAAATGGGATCCTTTGCCGCTAACAAAGGGCTATGGGGTCGTATAAATACTTTATACGTTTTTCACCCCCCGCCTATTTTTTTTTTTTTAATATAAAATTTATTGAAATAAAAAGGTGGAGGAGATACTCTATATACTTTAAAAGTATCTAGGGTATCTCCTCCACCTTTTTTTTTCAATTGGGGGGGGGGGGTTATGAAAAACGTACGTACTTTTAAGGGGGTGGGGACAAATGGCAACAGAGGGGGAGGTAGGTGTCAAGTTTCAGAATTTTTGGCGTACGTACTTTATGGACAACCCCTTAGACCATTAAAACTGATAAACACGGCGTTTTCATAAATCTTTGAAGCCAAAATTTTTCAGAGAATGTGGCGTTACTTTGTGGCAAAAAACTAGAAGAAACAAACTAGTAATAAGGTTTTATTTAAATTTTTTAGAAAAATTCTTTTCATCAGAAATATATAGAATATATTTTTGTGGGATATATTCTTATAAAGACTAAATATAGTAATTACTATGTTAATTCTTTAAAAGTATTTATTAATTACTATTGTTATAAATACAAACTTTTATCTGTGAAATAATAAATCTTTACCTGTTTTACTTCTTTTTGTGCAATTATATACACCCTAAATTAAGATTAATTTAAAAATCTAAGACAAATGCAAAAGCAAAAATGATTTTTTGCCTCAAACTGACGTCACTAAGCAAAACCTTTTTCGGCTTCACTTTTAGATAAGTATTATATAGCTAACGCCGTGTATATCAGTTTTAATGGTCTAAGGTTATGACTTGCATTAAAGTATCGCGAATGTTGTGATATGCAAAAAGGTAACCAACA